TAAATTATTTTACAATATACCTGTAAATGTGTATAGGTACATTATTTGGAGAGGAAAAATAGGTACATTATTAGAGGAAAAAATAGGTACGTTATTTGGAGAGAGAAAATAGGTTCATTTAAAAAAATTGCTTTTAATAAAACAAATAATAGGTACTTTATTCAGAGAAAAAAGGCTATACTATTTATAGGAAAAAATAGGTACATTAATTAGATAAATAATAGGTACTTTATTCGTAGTAGGTATATTATTCAAATGGTAGGTACATTGGATGACATATAATACCTAAATCCTAATTGTAAGTACATTAAAATTAATGTAGGTATATTGGATGTCGTATAATGTAGGTATATTGGAATAGATAATTATGTACACTTTTCATACTAGGTAAATTATATTTTTCATAAAACAAACAAGTAATAGGTACATTATTTTTTCAACATAATTAGTATGTATAGTTTTATTCATAAACAATTATAAAGTGGATTATTAGTCATGTATAATTCATAAAAAGAAAATAACATAAACCTTTAATTAAACAAACCGATTACCCAAATTTGAATTTATTGTTAAATTTTTTTAAAAAATGTTTCAAAATTAATTCCTACATCCATTACAACCATTTGGAGATCTTTCCAAATTCAACATCTGTCATTATATACATGGGAGTTTCACTAAAATACCCAAAATGGAGGTTGAAATTATAAAAAAACCCAACACCCAAAACACTTTATAAACACACCCAAAACCCATCATTACACACACTCAAAACTCATTTATAAACACACCCAAAAAGTTGACTTTGGGGTTGATTTTGGGTGTGTTTCTATGTTTAAATAGTGCTTGGGTTTTTTTATAAATACATGTCTAGGATTGGGTTTATTTATAAATTTGTATAAATTTTTCTTTTTCTTTTCTCAAGCAATATTTTTTATATTAAACCTGAATTTGTTTTAATTCTCATTGGTGTTATTGGACGTATTTTTGGAATCTGAAAAGTACAATAAATCAGATTTTATGCTTAATTAGGTAACTTGCTGAGTTAGATCCTAGTCATGGGTTTTTACTTATACAAATTGGGTATTATTTATAGGAACAAAAAGTGAAGGGTTTTAGGTACGGCAAATTGAATTTGAAGGGTGTAAGCCAAATTTACTTTCCAAATTCTTCCTCTACTTGTGTGCACAATAACGAAATTTCCATGAGTTGGAAACTTTCATACTCTTCGTCCAAAAATTCAATTAAACCTAAACAATGAATTTCCCTTTGAAATTTTCATGAGTTGGAAATTTCCCTTTGATTTTGTTCACGAACAGCAAACTCTTCGTCCAAAAATTCAATTAAACCTAAACAATAAATTTCCCTTTGCAATTTCCACGAGTTGGAAATTTCCCTTTGATTTTGTTCATGAACAGAAAACTCTTCATCCAAAAATTCAATGTTAAAAAAAAAAAACAAACAAACAAACAAACCTTTGTCCAAAAAGCAAGGGCCCTATCATCTGGTAGTGTTATGGGTGATGGAAATATATCTCAACCTTCCGCCGCCTTGACGTTGGCTTCACGTTGAGATGATCTCTAGGGGAACTTATCGAAGATCGAGAAATCTCTAGACGAGCTTTCCTCCCAGCAACTCCAACTAGTTGATTTGAAGAAATCACTAATGGAGGAGCTTTGCTTAATACATGACGCCACCCAAGGTTAATGTATGGCTTAGTGCATTGTTTACCAAACGATGGAAAAATTTCTAACACTGAGACAAAAAAAAAAAACACATTGGATGAAATCTTTAGGGTGGAGGTTGGACTTATGTTGGCCTTTATTATTTATACCTAAACCCTACAAATTCTCCAAACTCCAACATTTAATTAAATCCTTCCAAATCTATCTCTTTTTTAATACAGGTAAATTTATTTGGACTTTTTTCCAAGTCCTAATTGAATACACCCGCATTTAGATGGACATTTTAAAAGTTCAAACAAGTCTAGATTGAATACACCCAAACTGTTATAGACTTTTTAAAAGTTTGTATAAATCCAAATTGAATACATCCGGATTTTTAAAATCTTTTTAAATGCTCTAGAATCCTAATTGAATGTATAATTTGTTTTGGCAGTGTCTCTCCGGGATTTTGTTGCTTGCTGGGTTTATTTTCAATGTTGATTCATTAGAACTGAGGTATTGTAGGATTATCTCAGCCTTTGATTTTTGCTTTTGATTGGACTGGTTGATGATTTTGCTTTAGATTTGGATTGTTTGGAGGATTTTTGTTGTATTTTACCTCAAGCAATAATGATGTTCCTATTTATGGATCCCTTAGTACGAATGTAGTTTGTGATTAAAAACTTTTGGGCTCCAAACAAGGAATTGATTTTTAATACCTGAGCTTGATCAACAAGAAGAAAATATTTTACCCCTGAAATTTTTTGGATGGCTAGATTTTAGGGGTTCAGGGCTCTTTGGATGATGGTTTTAGATAGGAAAAATTGTAGGATTCACTGGTGCTGAGATATAATCACGTGGCACAGGCCAGCGTGCTCTTCTCCGCTTTATGATTGGATTGTATGTCTGCCTGAATAGAGATGTATATTCAAACACTCAGCAGGTTTGCTGTTGCCTTTACTTCATTCTCATACTATTTTCTAGCTAATCTCTTATGATTTCCTTTTCTTCTTCTCTGTCTTTCTGTCTCTCTGTCTCTCTCCCTCTCTACATCTCTCATGAAATCTTTGCAGCGATCCACAGAAGCAGCAGGACGTTCTATAGTCTCAATTGTCAATTGTTGTTTACCACATATTTCTCTGCATTAAAGATACTGGTTTGTGATTTTCCTTTATAAGGGCTATAGGGATTCAATACTTTTGTACATGGAGTTAAAAAGATGTATGTTATTACAAATGTTAATTTTAAGCATTCTCAGAAGTCTTGGGTTTACTTGCAGAGTTCCAGCTCGAACTTTTGATGCAATCACTCTTATTCTCATGGGTACTGTTCCATGACTCCTACATACTAAATTAAAATTTTCATTGCCAATGTTTTAGTATTCTATGACTCTCGGATTTACTTTTTAAAAAAAAGCTTCAGTCTATGGAGTGCGTATACATCAAGGAGGGTCCTATGTATTCTTTTTGTTTTGTAGTTTTTATTTATTTATAAATTTTATTTTTTTTAATTTTTAGTTTTTAATTTTCCAAAGAAAAAGAAAGCCAAGATTACAGCTGATTACAAAGGACCTATTACAGCTTTCTTTAGACTTTGTTGAGATCAGCAAAGAACCAAGTATGTAACTTGAGGCATTAGTATCAAACTTTATAGTTTTATGTTGCTGTCATCATCTTTAATTTTCTGCAATAAGGATCCTTTGTGCTAGCATTGTCTTAGAATTGTTTGATTGTGATTGTTAATTTGCCCGGACGACTGCTTGATGTATAATTTTAGAAGGGTTATCTACTTAATATTTCAAAATCTGGAAACATAGACTTCACTTTTGGGTATGGTTATAAGCTATACTTGTTTGAACTGTGTTCATTTGATTTGTGTTTGCTGAATTATTTCAATTTATGTTTTTGTGATACCTCATTAGCTATTTGATCTGGTCTGCTGCTATGAATATGAATGAACATGTATGAGACTGAGAGAAACAGAAAGTGACCTGATGATGTTGATGAGAGCTAGAGAGAGAAAAACAGAGGAGAATAGTAGGTTGCTAAAAGAGAACTAGGGTTTCCCAAACTCCTCGGATCTGCGCCATGGAGTTTGAAAGTAGACGAGTGTTAAAAAGAGGCTCTACACATTTGGATGTGGATTAGGGCTACAGGTACGGATCATGGAACACTTTCTATCTTTTTCGTTTTGATTCATTAGAACTGAGGTATTGTACCATACGTGGGTTTAGCTTGCAGAGTTTTCGTAGAGGTAAAGAATGTTAACATATACAGACCATTATCTTGTATATTTAATCAATCATCAATGTAATAGGACTGATAGAAATGCAGAGAGATTTGATAGATGAAAGAGGAGAGAATTTCAGAGAGAGAGTGAACTTGGAGAAGAAGCTAGCTAATTGATATTAGCTCAGCTCCAATATAACATTCATATATTGTGCTCTGACAAAAAACCGTTAGGAATGGAATATTCCTCATTACATCATTCAATCCTAGCCAATCATTTACTACCCTATGAGATAAAAACAAGTGGCATAAAGCTATTACATTCTCTGCTGTACACTTGGACTATGATCCAAAGCAGCCTTTTAAACAAAGAATAGAAACTTCCTATTCTGATTACATTTCAGCAATCACACTTATACACCAACAAAGAAAGCCTCTGCATTACAAGGTTCTGATTTCATATGTACACTTTTGTTGTTGTTGTTTTCTTAGTTGTTTTTATTCTGGGCCCTTCACTGGTCTCTCTCCCCTCAATCCTCTTCTCTCGCTTGGCCTCTCCGATATCACTCTTTTCTCCATCACTTCATTTCCTTTTGCTGTTAAATTTTCTGATTTCGGTGAATTTGAGGGGTATGAATGGAGGTGGAGGGAATTGGGTTCGGTTGTGCGAGTGAAATTATGCATCTTTGTATGTTATTTCTGTCCAAGTTTGTACCTTTGTATATCTGTGTGTGTTATGTTTTCATAAATGGGAAGGCAGCTGTGATTGGGTTCCTATTGTTGTTAGATTTTGAACTCTTGACTGGTAAAGGTCTTCCCAAGGGAACTGGCTTCTTGAACTTTTGTTGCAAAACATACTTATGGTCGAGCATTTGAACTGATGTTATCCGTTTAGATGGATATATGAAGGAGTGTTTATTTCATCCTATTTAAAGGTCACTACTTTAACCTAGGAGATGGGTGAATAGAAATATTAATCAGAATCGCAATCAGTTTATCTATTATGCTGAGTCAATGATAATGGGCTGGCATAATATTGTGTTTCATATATGTTATTACAAATTTTTACATGTTTTATACAGTTTTAATACTCGCGTTATCGCGCGGGCACCTTTGCTAGTATTGCTTATAACCTGTTATGAAATATAAACAATTTGATTGAATATACAATTTGCATACCTATAAAGAAATCACAGGAGAAACAAAAAGGAAAGATTTTCAGAAAAAAAAAATGGTGGGAAGAGGGTATGAAGCTGGGTAATGGAAGAAATTGTTGCAACCAAGGATTGCCTGCAATTCCTTATCGTCCTTGAAGCAGTGTTATAGTATCTTCATTTGCGGAGCAAATGTTGTCATACCGCGGTTGAGGATCAGAGACTGAGCTATGGAAAGTAAATATAGGCCGCTTAGGTCGTGGGCGATCTGTCTCCCTACTCAGCATGAAAACTACATCTGGCATGGTTGGCCTGTCTGCGGCATTGTCCTGTACACAAAGAAGACCAATATGCACACATCTCGTCACTTCTGATTGGGAATATGAATCTGCCAAGACTTCATCAACTAAGTCCAATCCCCTGCCTTCATTCCATGAGTGCCATGCCTGAAAAAGTTTCATATATGTTGGCAACAATTGTTAGCCTCTGTTGTATTTAGCTTCATGTAGATTTTTTAAGTTATAAATTCTAAATTTATAAGATTTAGAGTGTGATCTTACATAAGCTATCAATCCTAACTCTTGGTCATGGTAATAGAAGCTGGTATTCTTCCTGCCACTAATAATCTCCAATAGCAAGACCCCAAAGCTATATATATCAGATTTTTCAGAAAATATCCCGCGCATGGCATACTCTGGAGACATATAGCCACTGTACAGGAAATTCATTATCCACTAACTTATTATTATTCCTGATAACATGCTAAAAAGCATTAGAAAATTAGTTGGTTAATATCAATTCTGATAATAGGGAAGAAATGATTCTTACAGAGTTCCCACAACCTTCTGAGTGTTTGCTAGATTCTGTGTCCCTTCAAAGATCCGTGCCAGTCCAAAATCTGAAATCTTTGGGCTCATCTTCTCATCCAACAGAATATTACTTACCTTCAAATCTCTATGTATTACCTTCAAACGTGAATCATAGTGGAGATAAAGAAGTCCTCTTGCAACACCTTGAATAATATTGAAGCGTTCAGCCCAATCAAGCTCTGCTCTTCTCATTGGATCTAATCAATTCATCCATTTGAAAAGTGTCATTCATATATTTGGTACATAGTACAATGAAAACAATGATTTAATTGCTATAAAATGGAGACACAGTTGTAAGAACACTAGTAAGTGGCGCTTAAACAGGTAGGTGTGCTATATTGAAGAGCTAAACTGTACTCAAAGATTGTGCATATCAGTTAATAGTTCCCCTGAGTCGGCATTCTAGGAAAAGCTCATAGATTACCAGTGATATTGAAGAAGGATAGGTAACAATGAGAAATTGCAGCCAAACATAAAGGGCCAGTGAAACTTACTGAACAAAAGAGTATCCAAGCTTTTGTTTGGCATGAACTCATAAATTAGTAGCTTCTCATCATCTTTAATGCAGCAACCCATGAGCCTTACAAGATTCTTATGTTGGAGTTTGGAGATCAACAGCATCTCATTCTTGAACTCTTCTATTCCTTGTACTGAGCTACCAGATAGTCTTTTTACTGCTATTTCCTTCCCTTCTTGTAGCTTACCCTACACAAGGTCCACAAATTAATCATTGCATTCATGTCCGTATCATTATATATATATTCCTTTGAAAGGAAAAAAGAGAAAGAATAATCACCCTATATACAGGCCCGAATCCTCCTTCTCCGAGTTTGTTTGTGATGCTGAAATCGCTCGTAGCAATTAATATGCTATCAAAATCATAGATTACTAACTCTGATGGATCATGTTTTCTTATATATTCATGAACAGGAAGAAGGGCGTCTCCTGAAGTCTCAATCATATCAGCCATTTCAAAGTCCTTAGGTGTTACTTTGACGTTTCCTGGTTTGCAAATATAGCAACCAAACTCAAAGTCAGAGAAAAACAAAAAAGCAGTAAATATGCTGTTATAATGTAATGCATTGAAGTTATACTGTTTTGATTAATACTTCAAACAGAGGAAGGGTGAGATCATGGGCTAATGCATAAATTGCATCCCTCGGCCTCATTCTCTTACTCTTTTGGTTAGATCGCAATCTGTGCAAGCTAAACACTATGCCAGCCAAGATACTGATAAAACAAACAGCTATGAGGCTGACCATTAACTTTATTTGCTTTCTTTCACCTGAAAAAATGAATTTGTGTCGCATAAAGTAGGTGACAGAGAAAAGAAAAGATACTGCTAATTAGAGTTGTGCAAGCAATATTATCACTTACCTAATTCTGCATATGCTAGGCGAATAAAAAGATCATCTCCACCAGAGGCAAACTCTTGAATATCAATAAGGTCTTTGGACCAGACCAAACACCCTATATTGTTAATATGTGTATAAGCAAGGCAAGAACAACTACCTATGCACTGTACCTTGCAGTCTTCAGCACCCAAATTCGAAATATACTCATGAAAATCTGGTAGGTTTACCCTTGACATCTTCAAAAACCCATCTTGTTTTCCTCTCAAAGGAACTAACTTACTTGTGTTACTCCCACAAAACAATTTGGTTTTCCTCACACACCCCCCTGCACTGTTTCCTTTGCTCCATTCCTCTTGTGACTTGGGTTTAAACCCTTTCAAACACTTGCAGATTGGAGACTCGGAAGCTTTGCAAACCCCAAAAGGTCCACATATTCCATAATGGTCACATGGATTCTTTGGGGCCTCAAAGTTAAGATTCCAGTTCTCACCATGTTCGGAATACATAAGCTTTAGTGTACCTTTATAAGAGATTTCCATATATGCCAGAATTCTGTTCAAGAAAAAAGAGAAATACTTTGTTCCCTGCTGCACATTATCATCTAGATTTAATCCACTTACATATTCATCCTTCATTCCTGGTATGCCGAGGAACTTTGCTTTGTCCCATAGCCCACTTCTCCAGTAGGGAGTTGATCCATTAATCCAAATGAACATTTGTGTTGGGATCTGTGGTGCCAATCCAACCGAGAACAACCCGGTTGATCCATCACTCTCACTTTTCCAGGCAGTCAAGACATCCCTCTTTTCTGATTTGTTATCAAATCCCAGCAACATCATTGGTAGAAGTGTGTCACCAGGATAATCAAAGCTCCTCCATAATTGAGCTCCTATATCATCTTGGACAACAAAGTTTCCACTGTCGAAAAGAAGTGCAGCTGAACCATTAGATGACACTGAAATTTTGGTGGACCAAATAGAACTCTGTTTCCCATCTACAAGCTCCAGGTTCCCATTGCTGTTAATTGTCAAACTAGCCAATGTGTCTGTAACTGAAAGAGCCTTTTCTCTGTTGGCCACCCAAACAACTTTGCGGGGAAATATAGTCTTGTGCCATATCCCCACATACTTGTTAGCAGAATTATTAGGACTGAAGAAGCCCAATTCGAAAATGTGGCCTGGGGAGACAAGAGTTTGTCCCTCTGCTAATGGTTGTGAAGAAGTTATGTTATAAACTTCTACACAATAATGCTGTGACAGAAACAAGCTGAAAAAGAATAGGATGAAGATGGAGGGATTAAAAGCATGAAAAGTTTCAGTTCTCTTACCCATTTCAAGCTTGTTAATCTCCCTGCCCAACACGGGGTATCTAATTGTCAACCAAAACAATATTGCTAGTGGTTTTGGGATAATCAATCCCTCTCTCTCTCTCTCTTTCAATAATAACATCTTGCTTATAGGACCACCTATGAATATAATCTTCCTCACCCCTAAATTCAAATTGACTAAATATATAAATTTGGTTACCTATAAAGAAATCACAAAAGAAAGAAAAAGGTCAGGAAAACAAACAATTGGTGGGAAGTTGCTACGAACCTCAAATTTACAGCAGCCAAAAAAAGTCAGAGCTTTGTCGCCATTTTTGACACCAAGCCGTATTAACAAGTTACAGAAGCCAATCTTTGACATGGTCATGAGGCAAGCAGGGGTGTTTCGAACATTCAGAAAGCTTTATAATCATTCTCCAGGTCAACAGTCAAGAATCATGTTAGTCGATAATGTAGTTTTCAATTTGAAAGATAAAGTTTTGTTATTGCTGTCACATATTATGTGTTAGACAATCACAATTTGTCTGAAAAATAACAAGGCAGGTGAAGTTGAACCCAAAAAAACTGCTTTTTTCTTTACCTTTTAATAATAGCATAAGATATTTGAACATGTACAAAACATATGTTTCTAATCTAATAATAGCATAGGCTAGCATTGGATCAGGACATTAACGGGATGTTATACTACTAACACCTGTCTTATAATGTTTTTTCGGCGCATTTTAGCAAAATATCCCATGAAAGGAAAACCTTCATTCACTATACCAAAAGTAAAACTTCAGAATGGCCAAAAGTCAGTAGATGCAAAAATTTGCGATTTCTTATCGTCCTTGAAGTAGTGTTATGGTATCTTCATTTGCGGAGCAAATATTGTCAAAATGTGGTTGAGGATCAGAGACTGAGCTTTGGAAAGTAAATATAGGCCGCTTAGGTTGTGGGAGATCTGTCTCCTTACTCAGCATGAAAACTACATCTGGCATGGTTGGCCTATCTGCAGCATTGTCCTGTACACAAAGAAGCCCAATGTGCACACATCTCATCACTTCTGTTGAGGAATATGAATCTGCCAAAACTTCATCAACCAAGTCCAATCCCCTGCCTTCATTCCATGAGTGCCATGCCTGACAAATTTTCATATATGTTGGCTACAATTGTTAGACTCTGATGTATTTAACTTCATGTAGACTTTTAAAGTTATAAATTCTAAATTTATAAGATTTAAGTGTGAACTGACATAAGCTATAAAGCCTAGCTCTTGGTCATGGCAATAGAAGCTGGTATTCTTCCTGCCACCAATAATCTCCAATAGCAAGACTCCAAAGCTATATATATCGGATTTTTCAGAAAATATCCCGCCCATGGCATACTCTGGAGACATATAGCCACTGCACAGGAAATTCAATATCCACCAACTTATTATTATTATTCCTGATAACATGCTAAAAAGCGTTAGAAATTTAGTTGGGAAATAACAATGCTGATAATAGGGAAGAAATTATTCTTACAGAGTTCCCACAACCTTCTGAGTGTTTGCTAGATTCTGTGTCCCTTCAAAGATACGTGCCAATCCAAAATCTGAAATTTTTGGGCTCATCTTCTCATCCAACAGAATATTACTTACCTTCAAATCTCTATGTATCACCTTCAAACATGAATCATGGTGGAGATAAAGAAGTCCTCTAGCAACACCTTGAATAATATCGAAGCGTTTAGCCCAATCAAGCTCTGCTCTTCTCATTGGATCTAATCAATTCACCCATTTGAAATGAAATCAGTAGTGTCATTCATATATTTGGTGCATAGTACAATGAAAACAATGATTTAATTGCTATAAAATAGAGACACAGTTGTAAGAACACTAGTAAGCAGGGCTTAAACAGGTAGGTGTGATATATTGAAGAGCTAAACTGTACTCAAAGATTGTGCATATCAGTTAATAGTTCCCCTGAGCTTCGGCATTCTAGGAAAAGCTCATAGATTACCAGTGATATTGAAGAAGGATAGGTAACAATGAGAAATTGCAGCCAAACATAAAGGGCCAGTGAAACTTACTGAACAAAAGAGTATCCAAGCTTTTGTTTGGCATGAACTCGTAAATTAGTAGCTTCTCATCATCTTTAATGCAGCAACCCATGAGCCTTACAAGATTCTTATGTTGGAGTTTGGAGATCAACAGCATCTCATTCTTGAACTCTTCTATGCCTTGTACTGAGCTACTAGATAGTCTTTTTACTGCTATTTCCCTCCCTTCTTGTAGCTTACCCTACACAAGGTCCACAAATTAATCATTGCATTCATGTCTGTATCACTATATATATTCCATCTAAAAGAAAAAAGAGAAAGAATAATCACCCTATATACAGGCCCGAATCCTCCTTCTCCGAGTTTGTTTGTGATGCTGAAATCGCTCGTAGCAATTAATATGCTATCAAAATCATAGATTACTAACTCTGATGGATCATTGTCGTAAGAAATCAAAGAGAATATCGTCCCATGAGGTCTCAGACATATCAGCCATTTCAAGGTCCTTAGGTGTTACTTTGACGTTTCCTGGTTTGCAAATATAGCAACCACACTCGAAGTCAGAGAAAAACAAAAAAGCAGTAAATATGCTGTTATAATGTAATGCATTTATACTGTTTTGATTAATACTTCAAACAGAGGAAGGGTGAGATCATGGGCTAATGCATTAATTGTATCCCTCAACCTCATTCTCTTACTCTTTTGGTTAGATCGCAATCTGTGCAAGCTAAACACTATGCCAGCCAAGATACTGATAAAACAAACAGCTATGAGGCTGACCATTAACTTTATTTGCTTTCTTTCACCTGAAAAATGAATTTGTGTCACATAAAGTAGGTGACAGAGAAAAGAAAAGATACCGCTAATTAGAGTTGTGCAAGCAATACTATCACTTACCTAATTCTGCATGTGCTAGGCGAATACAAAGATCATTTCCACCAGAGGCAAACTCTTGAATATCAGTAAGGTCTTTGGACCAGACCAAACACCCTATATTGTTAATATGTGTATAAGCCAGGCAAGAACAATTACCTATGCACTTGTCCTTGCATTCTTCAGCACCCAAATTCGAAATATACTCATGAAAATCTGGTAGGTTTACACTTGGCATCTTCAAAAACCCATCTTGTTTTCCTTTTGAAGGAACGGACTGACTTGTGTTACTCCGACAAAACAATTTGGTTTTCCTCACACACCCCCCTGCTCTGTTTCCTTTGCTCCATTCCTCTTGTGCCTTGGGTTTAAACCCTTTCAAACACTTACAGATTGGAGACTCGGAAGCTTTGCAAACCCCAAAAGGTCCACATATTCCATAATGGTCACATGGATTCTTTTGGGCCTCCCAGTCAAGATTCCAGTTCTCACCATGTAAGGAATACATCAACTTTAGTGTACCTTTATAAGAGATTTCCATATATGCCAGAATTCTGTTCAAGAAAAAAGAGAAATACTTTGTTCCCTGCTGCACATTATCATTTAGATATAATCCACTTACATATTCATCATTCATTCCTGGTATGCCGAGGAACTTTGCTTTGTCCCATAGCCCACTTCTCCAGTAGGGAGTTGATCCATTAATCCAAATGAACATTTGTGTTGGGATCTGTGGTGCCAATCCAACCAAGAACAACCCGGTTGTTGCATCACTCTCACTTTTCCAGGCAGTCAAGACATTCCTCTTTCCAGATTTGTTATCGAATCCCAGCAACATCATTGGTAGAAGTGTGTCACCAGGATAATCAAAGCTCCTCCATAATTGAGCTCCTATATCATCTTGGACAACAAAGTTTCCACTGTCTAAAAGAAGTGCAGCTGAACCATTAGATGACACTGAAATATTGGTTGACCAAATAGAACTCTGTTTCCCATCTACAATCTCCAGGTTCCCATTGCTGTTAATTGTCAAACTAGCCAATGTGTCTGTAACTGAAAGAGCCTTTTCTCTGTTGGCCACCCAAACAACTTTGCGGGGAAATATAGTCTTGTGCCATATCCCCACATACTTGTTAACAGAATTATTAGGACTGAAGAAGCCCAATTCGAAAATGCGGCCAGGGGAGACGAGGGTTTGTCCCTGTGCTAATGGTTGTGAAGAAGATATGTTAAAAACCTCAGCACAATGATGCTGTGACAGAAGCAAGCTGAAGAGGAATAGGATGAACATGGTGGAACTTAAAGCGCTAACAGAAACCCAACAGGGACAATTAAATACTATGATGGGCTAAAATTCAGCTGCACCTTACGCGAAGCATAATAGTAATCTAATCTTCACTATGAGAAAATTGACTTTTCCATTTTTTTATGAAGAAAATTCTTCCAATGCTTTCAAAGTCATGCGCAGATAAGTTTGACACATTGTTCACTATTTGTAGTCCAGGACATATGATTCATTTAGTTGCTCCTCGTGGCCAACTCGGAGCCATTAACCAATGTGAACCACATGGTACGGCCCATCTCAATCAATGGCCCAGCCACCTGGAACTCTTCCACACTGGAAATATCAATGGTAGGGCCCATCCTGGTCTGACTATTATTATGTACAGCTCTCTTCTCTGCATCGAGTCAATTACCAGCTTGGATGTTAGGGAATGGGATGTTAGGAGGACTAAAATGATTCTTGAGGAGCTTACTTCATAACTAATTAACACATTTCATATTGTCATGTATATGTGATTTTGATATGCAAACTGCAGCAAAACATGCAATTCAGATTGGAAAGCAGCGGGCAGAGGAAGGTGGTGCCAACGAGGCAAGTAAGAATATTAATTGTTGATGCCCTTTTTGGGAGGGTCAACTTAGAAAGGATGTAGTCTTCAGCAGGGAAGAAGGTGAGAACCTTCGGTAAGGGAAGGACCTGCAGAAGACAAGAAGGAAGAATTAGTCTTCATGCTTTCATATTTTGGCAGAGTAAAAATAAAGTAAAGGTGAGAAAATAGTTACCCTTTTTACTCGGGTACTGTTCCGTATTTATAGGGAAGTGAAAATGAGAGTTTTGCACAAAGTTTCGATGTGGGACTTTGTGCAAATTGTTGTGATGGTGATACGTGTCCTTGGAGATTAGGTCGGAAGGTTCGGCAGTCGGAAGGTTCGGCAGTCGGAAGCTTCAG